AAAAATCAAGTGGGGGGGGGGGGGCCGGGGGGGGGGGTCGCCCCGATCCGGTGATTCATCGTGACGTCATCGCCGGGGAGGGGGATTTATGCCAGCCTCGTGACCGCGCTTAATCGGGGGGATTAGGGCTTATCTGTCTCGGGGGATATGAATAAATAATTTCCCCTCGGATGGAGCCTAATTGCTGGGGTCTCGATCACCCGATTTGGCTCGTTCCAGATTTTTTTTTTGCAATGTGCAATTTTTTCAATTTTGCAATTTTTTGCCCCTTTGGTGTGCGCCGAAGCGGGAAGATTGGCTCTTGGGATTTCGATTTTTGCCAACCGGTTGCTCGAAGTCGGTTTTGGTTAACCGCTGCGATACAAAAATAATAATAATAATATAAGTATAAATATAATAATAATAATGAGCAATTTGCTTTCCTTTGTTTGCCTCGAGAAAATTTCTCGTTTGAAAAAAATTTGAGGCTTCGGCTAACCGATTGGTAACCGGTTTGTGTCCCGCGGTTAATGAATGTTACCGGAAGTTGGAGTTCCTAGTTCCGACAGGGTCAATTCCAGCTTTGCCTCCCCTTTCATCCCTTGCCTCCCAGATCGGAGCCTAATGAAGTAAATATTTGAGCCTTTGCCTAACTCAATTGGCCTTTCGACAACTGGATTACCATCAATCTTTCTCCGTTCCCTCGTTACTCGAACGCGATTAAGGGTTCGGGGCGCCCTCGGCGGACGGGTGCCCTCGTGATGAATGCGGTCGAGGTCGTTAGTCACGTTCTCGGCGACGCGGACGTGATGGATCGTCGCGGCTGTCATACCATTCAGATAGAACATAAACTTTCGTATCTCATCTAATAAGAAACTTAGAATGACAAATATTGACCTTGTAATTTGCATTGCTTTCATCGAACTCGAGTTTTTCTCCAAATCCCAAAGTTTCTCTGGATGCGACTTGCGAGCATCATCCGTTTGAAACACATTCATGGAGTTTGAATATTTATTATATGAATATTCTAATCCCATGCAAAGCTGCTGTTCGATGGCAAGATAGCGAAATGGACCTCAAGTTCCCCGATAAAACGATGGACTTTTTTCTATTCGAACTTGCCTATCGTTCACATCCATCACTGAACCACATGATCCAGTGGAGACCGAATTGTCACGGTGGAAAACAAATAAAAATGTCAGTTTTGAAAAATTTCCAGGAAATTTTCAACTTCAGTCGAGTCCTATTATCATTTATAACGTTCATTTTATTCAGTTCCATCATCAATACTGTCGCCATAATCTGAAACATTAACCTGGACTGTACACAAGATAAACAGAGTAACAACATCTTTTTCTCCAGAGCGTAACAATGTACCCAGTCACAATGAAATTTCTTACTTTCATACCTTTCCTTTAAGTTCAAAAGAAGGGGAATCACAAGTCTAGAAGGTTTGAAAAATGATAAGCATAGACTCTCCATACCACTGGAAAGCTACAAATTGAGACTACAAAGCATGTGCAAAAAAAATTAAATTCATGCCGAGTCGCTGATGTCAGACTATGGGAAGCAGCAGGAACTCTAAAAATGAAAAAGGTTTTAAGGATATTTCAAAATTAGATAGTTGCAAACATTAGTTATTTTGCTAGTCAGGATACAGATGAGGTACAGTATCACGTCACGGACCTACTTGCTTTTTTTTCATCGTACGCTTATGCTCTCATTTTGTACTTTCTTTAAGAAAGAAAACATCAAAGGATGGGGAGCACGAAGTCAGATATGTGCAGATGAGGGTAGTCACATGTGCAGGGGGAAACAAACGCCATGAGAGTGGGATTCATGACACCTCTATGATGGATGGTGGACGATGAGACTTGTTGGAGAGCGAGGAGTTGCTACTGTGTGGGGACTCAGAAGCGACCTGCTGGCAACCCCGCCACTGGACGATGTCCGGACAAGACTCGCCCAGCACCGACACGATCTCGTTGTCCAGGCTCCCGCAGGAGTAGCGGTTCTTGAACTTGTCGAGGCGGGACAGAGGAGCGACGGCACCGCTGGGTCGCCATGCCGCCGCCTGAGTTTCGGGAGATGAGATCAACGACTTCCGGGTCAGAGGGGGTTCTGGGGAGTTGGACACCATCCCCGGACAGCTCTGGACTCGGTAGAGAGAACCACGAACAGTTGCATCGCACTTGGATGGGTCCACTGGCACAACTGCAGCCGCCGGCAAGATCAGGTGAAGGCCAGAGGGCGAAGGTGGTTCGGTGGGACTGTTTCTCTTCCAAGTACTGGTTTCCATCTTCTGCTTCCCCATGAGTCGAGTGAGGTCCTGGCGGATTTCGGCAAACTCTTCCTTGGCCTTTTTCTCCAGGATGTCCAAGTCCCGTTGGAAATCAAATGCTTTTTTTCCTGAAAATATAATGGGAGTCCATTTAATTCAAATTATTCTCTGAAACATGCCTTCAAATACATAGGAAACATTCTCACAGAAAAACAGAAGCACCTTGATACTTGGTACATTGAAGTGTGCAGAACCATCACATACCTTGTGGTCTAAGGGTATCCATATTCTGGAACACATCCATTCCTGGTATGACACCAGCATCTTCTGATGAAGGCAGCTTTCCGTCAGCGGAACTCCATGGGGACAACAGTCCTATCCCTGAATCCTGTCTTTCATCTGCAACAAGAATTTAAAAGATGCATGATAGATGAAGCTGAAATATGCAATTAGCATTTGACTGTAATCTGATGCTCTCGTGCCTGTCCCTGGCTCATGATTCAGAGGCAAGTGGTTGTGGTTACAGTGATTCACATTTGCACACTGCAAACACATGGCATATGAGTCATACAAACTACAAGCTGATACATGAGCCCTGCCTGTCTGTCACCTAGCAATTTGATACACCCCAAGACAGATGAGAGAATAAATCCCTACCTCTCTCTGCTTTAGATGAATGCATAATCTCATGCTCTTTGCAATTTGAGCCCTAGCCATTACATCACCATTCCCAACTCCTAAGCCCTACTATGAATGCATGAACACTGACCACAGTCAGAAACAGAAGGGAAAAGATCCTTGGAGTGAATCCGTTCTTGAGCTTCCTCAACATCCTGGAGACTGAAATATGCAGAATCCTTGCTTTGAATCCGCCTATGCTGTCCGTATAACAGGGGATGATTTCTCAGGCTAAATGACTCCTCTTCTTCTTGACTTTCTTTCTCTCTCTCTTTCATGTCCTCTTCACCTTCCATTGTAATTGGGATCCTGTGCTCCACACTCTTCTGGAAGACAATACCACAGTTAGGTCAAATCATGGGGAAAAAATATGCAGCAAGCAACATAACTAGCAGGTTCAGCCTGTAAAGTTCCTGCTTGAATACTTATTTCACTGACAGACTTACTATAGATAGATAATATAGAAATCATATCAATAAAAATCACCATTGCTCTCATAAGAATTAAATCTAATTGACCATCAATTCCATCAATTAAGGTAATTTGAATTTCAGTCAGCCCCTAGTTGCATGTATGAAACTCATTCCCCCCCAAAAAACTCCCCCATGATGACTCAGAGTGGATACTCCATGCATCCACCAATTAAACATCTTGTAATCTGAATACAACCAAACTTCATTTTCAGCTAATTAACCCATCAGAAATCAGTGACTAGTGGAAGAACTTAATCATAAGAGAAGTGAAACCACAGTTGATGCATTTCTTAGACTTACCTTACCAGATGCGGCCAAAGAAAAGGAAGAGAGAAGTGAAGAAGGCCGAATGGGAGCCTTGCTAATGCTACTGCTAGATGTGGATGGAGAAGGACCAAGACTTGTCCAATCGGGGAACACCCCATCGTCTGGATCCATCACCACGGAAGCAGCTCCACTTCCAGCGCTATCACATATGCTCTCAAAATCAGAGCCAGCCTCTGAGCCCAGACCGCTCGTGCTCACAGAGTCTGAGCGTGCACACGGATAACCCATGGAGTCTGGAGTGGGGACAAACCACGTGGAGTTGGAGAGATGCCTCACGAAGCCCTCGTCTCCGTCGTCTTCCAGTAGAGGCTCTTCGGGCTGTAACCGTCTGCCAAAGCAACCCGTGGAAGAGGTTCGACTGGGACCCACGTGGATGTGCACTCCACTACGTCCCAAAGGGTAACCGGTGACACTGATGCGAGAGTCAGACTTGCTCTGTCGTGGAGAAAAGCTCCTTTCCTTCAAATTGGAGGCAGGAACTCTGTCTATGTGAACTTCCACACGACGAGACTTCTCTTCTGGAGGCATCGAGGATGGCGAAGTTGCAGCAGCATCGACCATCTCCTCATTCTCCTGTTGAAATTTCTTGTTGAAGGAGATCTCGACGCTGATGTTGCGACCCTGGCTCGAGTCCATCGAGTTCCGAGTCACCGTGATGGACGAGTGATGCATGGTCATACTCGAGCACGCCCGACTGTCCAACGTCCGCTTCTCGCCTTTCCGCAGCGAAGGTGAAGTGGTCGATGTGAAGCTGTTCTTCCCATTGTCCAAGAACTGATCAAAGCTGAGCTTTGCCAGAGCCGTTGTCGGGGACATGTCGCCAACCGAGGGTGTTGCAGGCACAGCTGTCGAGGGAGCGAACGAGAGGGACAAGGAACGTGGTACACCACAGCTCGGAGTGGATGGGATGGGGTTAGATGGACGCTTCAGCTTGTTCTCACGCTGGAGGTGACGCTCAAATTCCATCAGCTGACCAAGGAAGTTGAAATTGGGGGAAATGGTAGCCCTCTTGGATTTGACAATCCTGGAAATATTGGTAATGCAGGTCTTATGATTTCAATTTCAACCATACCTTAAATTCATCATGATGAGACGGCAATAAGAGTAATTAGTTTTAGTGTATCCCTTCGAGGAGTCATGCCTAAGATTACTTCAGAAAAAAAATATATATCCCCTTGTTACAAGTTCCCACTAAAAGATAAGGATGGAGTACATACAGAATAGAGTGGATATGGCAGACAGGATGTTAGGTGCCTAGGCCGTTATCAGTTTTAACAGCAGGGAATAAATCCTTGATGACTACCTCTTTGCAAACACAGCCAGCCGGCATCCTCCCCCCTCCTCAAAGTAATTTCGCCGTCAATATTCCAGTACAAGATTAAACACTTTCAAACCTCTAGATATGCCAGTCTTCAACTTGACCTCAACATGGACAATGGAATCCCGTTTTCTTGTAAGCAACCATTACAATTAGTTTTCATTCAATTTTCTTTCATTGGGATCCCAAGGGCATACATATAAAAAAAAAGTGTAGCTGCCTCTCCAAGTATCCTTGCAGAAAGCATCTCAAGCATTTTCAAAAAAGGTTAAATGATATCTCATAAGATATACTTCAGTAAAAAAAAAAAAGTAAACTCCAGGTAGCAATATTCTTTCCCTATTGTCATTTCATTGTAATAGTTTCTTTGTTACATGCTAAATACCAGATTGGCACTTGACAATGAAATCTAGCACAAGTACATAATACTTTCAACCTTCACAGTCAAGGAGAAGGAACCAACCTATAAGCTTCTTCCCAACTGAGGCCCTGCTTCATCATGATGTATGCAATGGCAACAGAAGGTGAGCGAGAGATGCCCATCAGACAGTGCACTAAGACGTTCCCACTTGCCTCTTCCACTTTATCTGTGAATGATGAAACCATGACATCATTCCTCTCGTTGTACACAGTGAAATTCAATGGACAAGGAAAACCCACCAAGGAATTCAAAAGCTCTGTTTAAATGTGGTGCCAGTCGATCATTGTAGTTGTCATTCACAGGAATACGAAGGAAGTGGCTGTCCTGGATGAAGTCAGGCTGGTCACCAGATGTGCTCACATTCACAATGTAATTGATGTTGTAACTCTGTAGAAGTGAGAGGGGAAGATTTAATTTGCCTGGTTCCAAAGAAGGAAGAATATGATAGTGAATGATAAATGCTTTGGAAATAAAAGCAACAAACCATGAGAAGCTCCTTATTCATGGCATCCTGTTGAGATCCCAGGTACAGGAAGGGCAAGATACGTGTGGGACCAACATTTGTCACAGGGAGGCAAGGCTGGGACAAAGAGCCCAATAACCCTGAGTAGTACTTCCCCATACTCTCGTCACAAAGTTCTGGGTATTTGCCTTGGAACTCTAAATAGCCACCTTCAAAAAGACAGAAAATACCAAAAAATGTTGCTTTCATTCTGAGCAGGAATAGAATAAGACAATTACTCAAAAGGGGCAAAGGCTGGTATCTTCACAAATGCCAAGGGCAACTATGTATCTCATCATCATCATCTTGTTTACATCCATATGGTTTCTATAGGTTGAGACTTTCAAATGTGAGCAGTACTCTGCATGAATGAGATGTGACACATCTGGAGGTTGTCTTTCTCAAGGTTCAGTTCTAAAACGTTCTATCATATGAAAGTCCTATAAGTGTAGGCAGTGCTCTATCAGCCCACCATGACCTTTGCACCAAGATCACAGATACAGTAAGCAGTTGTCCCACTATGAATACATCCTTATGCTGTGATGACAGTGTTCTCAGAAATATCTTGGAGGAAACTCACCTCGCAGAAGTCCTACAAGCTGGAAGACTCTGGCCAGCTTAGTGATCAGCACATGTAGGAAGGAGTCAGGAGCAAGAATCGTGGAATCTGTCGAACTCTGGTCATACACGATGATCTCCCATGACTCATCCACATCTATCTGACACACCTTCTGTAGGTACTCCTTAACTGAAATCTGAAAAATGAATAGAAAATGTAATAATCACAATTACACATGATGACCATAACTCACAATTTTGTAATTAGATGAATCATCCAGTAGGATGAGAAGACAGTTCTAAGGATCAATTTGCTGAACATATTTTAATAATTATTGAGTGGGTATTATTGCTGGCATTTTACTCACTTTATCCTGCTGCAGCCTTCTCTTGAACATTTTGGCACAACAGACATTGACAGCACCTGTAATGTGTGCATCATTGTACTCCACAAAAGAACGGCTGTCTATAATCAGCAGCTGAAAAATAAGAAATGCCAAAAGCCATGCTGATAAATCACTTGACATATATGCAACTGGAGAGATAAGCCTACAAGTGAAAGAGGCTTACATGGTCGTTCTTGTCTTGTATCTTAGAGGCGAGGTAATGAGGTTCAATGCATCCAATTGGATTGGTGATTGCCATTGAAAAGCTCAAGCATGAAGATGGCAGTCAGCAGAACAAGGGTAACCACTCTACTGCCATTCTGCACATAGGCTGCATCCTTGATAAGCCAATATTGGTCTACAGTTACAGCCTCAGAGACTTTTCATATGCCTGAAAAGAAAAAGTTCAAATTTTCATTATAAGAACAATGAATAACTACATATCTCTAACTAAAAGTTCTGGATGACACTTGAGTCTATCTTCTTTTCTTTTCTTCTCAAGAGCATCTATATCTAGGGATTACTTGGATCTGCATATATTTACAGTGAAGTACAGCCCTCTTGCAAGGAGGGGGCCACTGGAACATGAACACGCATTACATTGTACATGTCACATGTCCCTTCATATCTCAACCGCCATCCCCTCCCTTCATACCATTGGCTGATAACCACGTGGCAAATGACTCAGACAATTCCAAATACTGCAGGAATTCCCCAGCTCCTAGGACTTTCTTTCCTTTTCATTACATACAGGTGACTACTTGCTTCAGCAGTTTCATGCAGCTAGGGAAGCCAAACGATCTGATTTAATATGTTTTTGTCTGGAAGAGGGAGGGATCAACCTTCAAGATGTTATGGCATCCCAACATGAAGAGTTGATGACTAGGCAAATAGACTATTAAGTACCTGGGAAAATTATCTACTATATTCACTTTGAAGCAATAAAGCATTACCATTACATACGACATTTAAAAAGCACCTTCTCAGGGTTGTGACTTGTGCCTCATGAATATTCATTTCATGAATGCAATTTCTAGAAATCAGGGTAACTCTGATACTATATCTAACACTCCAATTACTGTTCAATTTAAATTCCCTCAACGGCAGAGTTAACATATCTTCTAAAACATCCACAAAGAACATTGAGATCCTAGAGGTTTTTAAGCTCCAATCACAACCATCTCTTAACCCTCTAAGGAAATACATTATGGATCTAAATGCAGATCCACATCAAAGGTTTCACTTTTCATAAGAGTCACAACTATTGCTCACAATCACTGCATTTTCCCCTTCTATAGACAAAATTTGGAATGACCTTTCATTCAAATTAAGATCCCTTGAATCTTCCAACATTTGTTGAATCTTCATCATATTTGAGTGAGTTTTTTGCAATTACCATCAATACATTCTTAATGTGTTTAGCTCAGAGAAATTGTTTTTCATGATTTTTTTCTTTTGTGTTTTTTGATTATGTCTAACTTGTTTTCTTTGACCTACACACTTGTGTGCCTGAGTCAAGTGAAAAATTCAGTGACTCAAATGGAACACTATTCATTAACTTCATGATTTCCATAATTTTTCTAATTTCAACTGCACAAATTCAAATTTCACTTATAATACATGTATTTGGGTTACATTAGCCATAGCCTTGAAAGAATAGCCCTTAATTTAATCTACTCATTGGAAGAAAACAACGGGATTACACGAAGCTACGATAACGAACTTGGCCCCAACGTGACTGCAATATATATTTGGTTATATTTACAATTTCTAGCCTAACTTTTCAGCCACGAAAGATTACAGGCAAACGCATAATACAGCATTCATATAACCCTACCGTTAGTCCAGACAAAGGTAAGAAAGGTAAGATCAGAAAGGTAGTATAATTAGGTTCTAGGCCTAACGTTAACTCGAACACGGACGCGATAGATGGGCCACTGACGATAGGCTAGACCAAGCGAGACCGACCCTGGAGCTGCGTGTCCGGGGCTAGCCTATGGGGGTCTCCGCTACGGTGCGTGCGCCGTGCACTGCAAAGCACTCATGGCCTCCCTCGCTTCCTCCCTCCGCACAGCAGCATCGACTGCCTCCTGTGATGTCCGTGAAGGATAGGAGAGGGAAGGATCTAGGGAGGGGGGCCGAAGAGGGGGATCTCGGTTTCGTTCTTCAAACAAGCGGAAGGTGAAGGACACCGCGTGAAAGAACGCGTGTGTCGTTTCGTAGGTCCTCGGCGTGACGTCTTCCGTTACTCATGACGTCAACGCACTCCCCTCCCCCACCCCACGTTGCCCTTTGCCGTCACGGTTACTGACAGCACAATGGTACTTCACCGACGAAAATAACCTCCGAGTTTACTTCACCCAGAACGAAGCGAACTAGGCGCCAAAAACTCCACCGACCCATCCGAGCATGACAAAGCGGCAAACGGAATCGTCGGTGAATCCCCGCTCCAAAACCGGCGTACGTCCCCGCCCCCCCCCCCCCCCCTCCCCTTTCGTTCCGCCATTGTCATCCGCGGCAGTACCCCGTTTTATGGCGCAGTGGCTTCCAATTTGGAGCGCCGGAACGCAAGACTTCTCCGAACATGGTCGCACCGAGCCGAGCCGAGAACAATGGGTTGTCGCCTCGATGGTATCATTTTTCTTGGCACCTCGCCCCAGAAGGTCAGGGCATATGTCAACACGACCAAGCACCCATGGAAGCATGCATCCGCGGAACGAAGGAGAACAGATAGGAAATATCTCCATCC